TCAAAATTTCCACTACCAGTTCTCCAGAATGGGTCAGAACCTGCTGAATACCACTTCTGCAAGGGATGGAAACTAATCAAGAAGAGAACCAACTTAGAACTAAAGAGAAACTTCCTGACAATTAGAACAATTAATCAGTGAAATGACTTGTCTCCAGTAGTTGTGAGTGCTCTCCAACACTGGAGGTTTTTTAGAAGAAATTGGACAGCCATTTGTCTGAAATGGTATAGGGTTTCCTGCCTGAGCAGGATGTTGGACTCCAAGATCTCTTTTATCTTTGTTATTCTGTTAAATTAATTGACTAGTTATTTGTGCCAACATTGTATAACTAATAGCACTACTCAACACTCTTCCAGCAAAATCCATATATGGAATGAAAGTCTAATTATTCTAGAATCTGGGCAATGTTATGTGAGATGATTGTCTTAGTACAAACAAATATTTGGCCAAACCATTTGTGATCAAATCTAGCATTCAATGATGTCAAAGCATTAAGTAGGATAGGTCTGCAAGGTTTATTGGTCTGGTTCCTGGGGAGAAGTGTACTTTTCTTTTTATCCATGTTTTTATGGATTGTTTTGAGCCACCTAAGGTAGCCTAAGTCCTTTAAATAACAACAACAACAACAACAACAACAACAACAACAACAACAACGTAACAAAACAAAATAAAAGTGCATTTTGTCAAGTCTGCCTCCAAGGAGGGACTGCATAGGCAAACAATCAGCTCCACCTAAATCACAGACGTACTCTTTCAGCTACGCTATTACAGACATGAGGTCATAATGACCTCACTAACAAAAAGACATTAAATGTTTTCATGGTTGGATCTAAAAATTGATGTATAAAGCAGTAAACTAAAAAAAAAAATGTATTGATCTCTATCAAATCTCCATCACGCAGGCCACTTTTTGTTTCTCCATTCTTGAACTTCAATCTTTCTTCCCTAATTTTTACATTGGTCCACTGAATGATGGCACTAATAATTTCTTTAGAAAAATAATAATTTCCAAATCTCTAGGGGAGTAGATGAATTTCTAAGATTTCTAGCTGCTGACCATAGTCCAGGTAATTCCACAACAATGTTGTGACTATTCTGTTCTGGATCTATTGCTTCCAAAAGATGCAGAGATGCATTTGAATTTGTTCTTGCTATATAAATTATTGCACGACATAGATTGTACCTGGTCATCAATTTCATTGGGAGCTTCATCATCACTGATATCAGAAACGGTGGCAGTGGCAGGTTCCTCGTCGTCCATTAAAAAAAATATCATAATAATCTGATTCCATTTCACTCAGATCACTCTCTGCTTCTCCATATCATTTTAGAACAGTTTCTTTGAAGTTTGGGTCACCAAATCACACTTTTTTTGGCAGAAAACTTGGCCCCAACATTATTTTTAAAAAATACGTTAACAAAGATCTGCGCTCAAAATGACTGAAACTCAAATTCAAATGCTGCTACAGAAAACACCAAATAACTGACGCAAGCACAATGTTGCATACACTCTTATTGGTGGGCTAGTTCTCTTATTATTTAAAATTTTCCAAATTATTTCCAAATAATTTTGTTCAAAAGTCAATTTTCCCTTGGGTTTTTGTCCCTTTAAGATTACGCTTCAAAATCTTCTTTTCATCCCCCCATGCTCATTAGCAACTGTTTTATCGCTAGGGGTACTAAAGTTAAAAAAAAATCCTTATTGTTGTTTCAACCATGGGTTGGCTGTCACTTACCCGGCTTCAAAAAATCTCTGTTCCATTCATCATTCCTGCTCAATGCTTAGTCTGGTTGCCTCAGCTTCGTGACAGCTGCAATGGCTACCGTCCCCCACCACTGAGTCATAGAGAGTTTCCTCTGACCTTCAAGGAACTTGCCTGTTCCTCTTGATCTTCCGAGGTGCCTCTTCTTCTTCCCCATCCCTACAGGATGGTTCTGATTCGAAGACCCCTCGGCAGCGGTTCGTCAGTCCGGGTTTTCGCGGAGCTCATCAGAGCCTGCTAATTCCCCAACTGTCTCACTGCGATGCTTCCAATCAAATCAAATGTTTCAGTGTTTTGTAAGGCTTGGAACAAGCTCACATTATTAAAAAAGACTGCATGATCCACACGAGACTTTAGTGGCAATGGACAAAAGTAGCCAAACCAAAAATTGATTTTGTTTTACCATCAACCCAAGATGCAATTATTTTGAGGAACACTTTGTGGGAATCCCTGCCCTCTTCCCTGCCTTGTGGATCCTGGACACGCAAATACAACTGACACTTGGATTGGGAGTCTGTAAATTTAATGCACCCTTTTTCATATTTAGGTTGATTTTTTAAATATAAATATAGGGCCTTGGGCTAATGACTCCAAAGTTCAACAAAGTCTTCAGTAAACTCTCAAATGTTAACTGAATTACTCAGTTATAACCAGAATAACAGAGTAACAGACTTGGAAGGGACCTTGGAGGTCTTCTAGTCCACCCCTCTGCTCAAGCATCCTATACCATTTCAGACAAGTGGCTGTCCAGTCTCTTCTTAAAAGCCTCTAGTGATGGAGTACCCACAACTTCTGGAGGCAAGTTTTTCCACTGGGTAATTGTTCTCACTGTTAGGAAGCTTCTCTCTAGTTCTAGGCTGCTTTGCTCCTTGATTAGTTTCTATCCATGTTTCTTGACTTGCCTTCTAGTGCTTTGGAAAATAGGTTGACCTCTTCTTTGTGGCAGCCCTTCAAATACTGGAGATTAGTTGGTTGCCATAGTGATGGGAATAGAAAGATTCCCACCAGGAATGGCAGGCAAACTATCAGCCCAGTGGTGTAGAGTTCTGAGCATTCCCATTTTGTATTCTAGTGAGTGGTAAGAATTATAATGCAAATACTAAACAGTGTGTGTTGGTTTTCTGTAAAATTCAGTGTTAAGGCTTCTGTCTTCCTTAAGGTGCACAAGACAGTCCAGGAAAGCCAGAAAGTTTTCCTTAACATCTTCCCTTGTTGTGAACGTAGCAATAGCAATAGCACTTAGGCTTGTATACTGCTTTATAGTGCTTTACAGCCCTCTCTAAGCGGTTTAACAGAGTCAGCATATTGCCCCCAACAATCTGGGTCCTCATTTTACTGACCTCAGAAGGATGGAAGACTGAGTCAACCTTGAGCCTGGAGGGATTTGAACTGCCAAATTACAGGCAGCCAATAGTCAGCAGAAGTGGCCTGCACTACAGCACTCTAACCACTGTGTCACCGAGGCTTAATGTATCTGTCCACAGACTTGATGTGTTTGGTGAAGGCTTTCACTTCCTGTGCTTTAATCTTGACCCAAGTATTAACCACATACCTATACCAGTAAGTCAGGGGTGAAACACAGCAGGTTCTGACAGGTTTTGGAGAACCAGTAGCTGAAATTTTGAGCAGTTTGGAAAACTGGCAAATACCACCTTTGGTTGGCCCCAGAGTGAGGTGGGAATGGAGATTTTGCACTATCCTTCCCCTGCTATGCCCACCAGGCCATGCCACCAAGAACACCACACCCACCAAGCTATGCCCACAGAACCAGTAGTAAAAAAAATTGGATTTCACCACTGCAGTAAGTGGATGGAATTCCTGTGAAGGAGTTTAGGGCTTTGGTTTCTACCTCTCCTATGTAAAAATTAGCCATAATGGGGGACACAGGTAAACCCAAATAGTTATTGAAAACACTCAAAAGATAAACCATATATTTTACTGTAAATTCAATTTGTCAGTAATAGATAACTAATATAATTCCCATACCAGTACATTGAAAAGTAGTCTCATATAAACTGTTTCAAAATTTAAAGAATACATCACTTATGTATTTGTTGACAGAAAGGCAATATGATTATTTGTTTAATTTTATATTTTGCTTTTTTAAAAAAAAATGGAAAAAGTCAAGCTAACCAATTCTAGTATTTTCCTATCCCTTGTTTATGTATTTTATTTATTTAGTTTGTCAACCATGTACAAGATAACAGGTATAAGTATAAACATGGACATGAACACAGGAAATGAGTACAAATAAATGGGGACAAATAAAAGTAGGACAGGGACGGTAGGCACACTGGTGTGCTTATGCATGCCCCCTATACGGACCTCTTAGGAATGGGGTGAGGTCCATGGTATACAGTTTAAGGTTGAAGCTGTGAGGGTTTGAGGATGTAACAATGAAATCAGGTAGAGCATTCCAGGTATTGACCACTCTGTTGCTGAAGTCGTATTTTCTGCAGTCGAGTTTGGAGCAGTTTACCTTGAGCTTATATGTATTGTTTGCCCGTGTATTTTTTTTTTTTTAATTTGATTTATATGCCACCCTTCTCCGGAGACTCAGGGTGGCTTACAATGCATTAAGCAATAGCCTTCAGACTTTTGTATATTTATACAAAGTCATCTTATTGCCCCCACAAACTGGGTCCTCAATTTACCTACCTTAGAAAGGATGGAAGGCTGAGTCAACCTTGAGGCTGGCGAGATTCGATCTTACTTTAATTGCAGACAGCTGGTGTTAAATTACAATGCTTCTGTCTGTTGAGCTAAACCAGGCTCCTTATTGACTGTATTATTATTATTATTGTTATTATTGAGTGTATTATTATTGTGTGTGGGGGGGAGGTTGAGGGCTGGGGATATATTCAAGGAGATACAAAGAAGTGTGATGGGATAACTGGTACTGGCTGCCCACAACACAGTAGTATCATTATAGAGGACAGACTGAACATGTGTCATCTCTAGGTTCTATATAACAGCAAAATAGGCCTGTATCTTTTCTTTTATGTACAACGAGAGTGTATGCACCAAGACAAATTCCTTATGTGTCCAATCACACTTGGCCAATAAAGAATTCTATTCTGTTCTGCTCTGCTCTGCTCTGCTCTGCTCTATTCTATTCTATTCTATTCTATTCTATTCTATTCTATTCTATTCTACTCTACTCTACTCTACTCTACTCTACTCTACTCTACTCTACTCTACTCTATTCTATTCTATTCTATTCTATTCTATTCATCTTCAGCACTTCCTTCTAATTAGTTGTTCTCTCTTGTTTAGCTCTGGCCTCAAGAGAATAATATACATTTTGGGGAAAAATATAAATCCCAGCAAACCAGCACTGGAAGCAAAGATGGAGAAGATCTCCACAGCAACCATGTACTTCCCTTTGGTGCTCAAATAGGTTGGAACAAAAGACAACCACACACTGCAAAACACCAACATACTGAATGTGATGAATTTGGCTTCATTGAAAGTGTCAGGTAACTTCCTGGCAAGAAAAGCCACAGAGAAGCTGATAATAGCCAGAAAGCCCAGGTAACCCAGGACAGAATAAAACATAATCACCGACCCTTCATTGCACTGCAGTATGATTTCTTCACTCACTGAATGAGTATCAGTCTCTACAAAAGGGGGAGAAGTCCACATCCATGAAATACAAATGCATGCCTGAATCAGGGAGCAGAAAAAGAGTACTGAGTTGGTCAGTCTTGTCCCCACCCATCTTCTCATCTTGGATCCAGGTTTGGTGGCTAAGAATGCCAAAACTACTGTGATAGTCTTTGCCAGCACACAAGAAACTACCACTGAGAAGATGATTCCAAAAGCAGTCTGTCGGATAAGACAGGTCACCTTCTTAGGACGGCCAAGGAACAAGAACACACTGAAGAAGCAGAGCAGGAGGGACACCAGAAGTGTGTAAGTGAGGTTTCGATTATTGGCTACAACAATTGGACTGTTGTGATGCTTTAGGAATATTCCCAGCACCAGAGCTGTAATCAAAGAAAAAAAAAGGGCAGAGAAAGAAAAACTAATCCCAAGAGGTTCTCCGTAAGATAAGAAACTCACATATCTAGGCAGACAGAAATTTTTGTTTTTATTTGGATAGAATTCATTTCTGCAGTTATAACAATCTCTCATATCTGAAAAAGAAAAATACATGGCTTCAATTCCTGAATCAAATCTATGAACCAAATTGATACCACAAATAGCTTCTAGAAGCCTTTTGAAAATACCCTTTGTTCCAATCAACGATCCAAGTGGGTCATTTTATCACCCCCCCCCAGTTTTTTATTTTTTAAAATTATTTTTTACAAACACATCAATGTGTGAACAGTGTGACAGTGGGGCACCTGGGTGTCATACATTCTAATACAAATAAAATTAATGGCTTTAGTCATAATTATTACTTTCAATCCAACTTATATATGTCTAATATTAATACATATTTATATAAAATTAAATATTTAGATTAAGAGAATACATATAGATGATATACTAGGGATATATGTATAAGGGATATATTAAAATAAGAAAGAGAAAATGTATAAATATAAATATAGATTACTGATGCGAAATGTTAAAAAGAAGATGTAAAGATGGATCTTTGTTTAGTTGTTTGTGTGTTTTGTTATTGTTTGTTTGTTCGTATTAAAAAAGTTTAATAATTTTTTAAAAGAGATACATATTTATATAAAATTGCAATCTATCATTATTCAATTATTCCATGTTTTCTCTTATTATTACTCTTATTTTATTATATAAAGGTGTATACACTAATATTTCCCTTTTCTCTTATTTCTATCTCTTATTCTAACTTTTAATCATGCCATCCTTTGTTAAAAAACATTTTCTTTCTATCTTACCTAACTTCTAATCATGTCACTTACCTACCAAAAGGAGAAAGGAAAAGCAAAGCAAATCAAAACAACACCAAAAACAAAAAAATAATATATCCATCATTTCTTGCCCGCTTAATACTTTAGTTGCTATGCTTTTTTTCCTTTTGACTTGTCTCCCATATTCCTCTCTAAAATCTTTATCTCTTTCTACATCTGCTTCTTGGCTGTTCAATCCCACCTCTATCTTCCTCTACTGCCTAGTTTCCAAAATTTCTGCCCATGCTTCTCTCTCCCTTTCAAAGGTACCTTCCTATATCTCCAATTCTCTTTTCAACTCTCTTAATATATTTTCCCCCTTGTTTAATTCATCAATCACTGTTATTTTCTTTGTTGTCTCCTCTTTGTTTTCTTCTTTTATTCTCTGATTCTTCATCTCAGTCTTTTCCTCCATTTCTACTGTTAGCTCCTCCCTTTCCTGGGCATCTTGATCTTTGCTCATCATCCCCTGTATAGCATTTTCCATTTTTTCCATAATCTCCTTAAATCCTTTCTCCATAATGTCCTTTGTGTTTTGAAAAAATAACGCCATCTCCTTTGGTGTTTCACTTGTTTCTTCTTTATAAAGCATCTTATTTTGTTTGTTAAAAAAGTATTCCACTTTTGTTCAACAGTCCAAGAACTATTTACTCAGTCCTTAGGTTGCCTTTCAAGAGGTAAGCTGATCACAGTTCTTTATATCCCAAAGGTAAACACTCAATTCCATCTGAATAGTTCCAGGGGTTATCAGAAGTCTTTCAGGGATCCCTTTAATTAAGTAGCTTGCTTATTTTCATATTTAAATCTCCAATAATCCTGGGGTAGTTGGGAATAATCCAATAATCCAATAGATATTTTCACAGTCCTTCTCATAAGTATTTCCAGGCTTGTAGTTTTTCCTTTTGTCAGCAGGTGGCACACTCAACTTAAATTTCAGTATTACCACTTGGCAATTATAATTTTAGTTATAAATCAATGATAAAAGTGGAATAAGTTTTATAGGTAAAATTTCAACATTTTAAAATGCCTTCCCAGTACAGCGTCTTCCCAATTTAAGAGTCCAATTTTTTGTACTTTTCAAAATTTATTATTTTTCTCTCTTGTGTCTTCCACTTAAACAACAACAACAAAAAAATAGTTCTGAGCAAATAGTTCCAAATTATTCCTTGGGTTAAGTTAAGGCAAAAAGGAATCCTCTCCCCCCCAATTCCAGTCACTGTTCACCTACTGCGCTCCAGCACCAGTCTTAGTTGTTATTCTTTGGTTGTCCCAGCTTTGTGGCAGCCATCTTTAGGCTGCCTCTTCTTCTTGCCATGGCTGAGAGGGGACACCCCCCCCCGGGTCAGACAGGAGAGCTGCTAGTCTTCTTGACCTCACAGGGCATCCCTCTTTGCTTCATCGCCACTACAGGGCGGCTTTGGCTCCTCTTGGAGCCCACAAATAGGGAGAATTCAGCACACAGAACATGGAGACCCATTCCGCTGCAATGTCAAGTGGAAGTCCCAAGTGGATGATGTTCAATCAACCTTTTTTTCTCTCTCAACACTTTTTTATTTCAAAAAGTGATAATTGACTCTGTTATTAATTCTGATTGAAGAACCATTCAATTATTAATTTTGAAAAATCTGCTACCTGAATCTTCTTCTCATGATGATGACAACAACGATGATGATGATGATGACAATGACGATAGCCTAAGGATCTGTAGAGCTATCTTTTTTTCCCACTTTCTCTCCCCTCTATTTTTTCTTCTCTATCATTTCAAAGGAGAACATTAACCTAAATGCATGCATCATTTATCATTTCCTAAGCATCCTCTTTCTATTCTATACTTTCCTCTGAATTTTTCAGCTCTGACAAAAGCAGAAAATTACTGATTTATCATTTTCTCTATATCCTATCTTTCCTTTAACTGCTAAAGGTGATATACAGTACATCTCTCATTTTACTTCCATAACAATGGAGACCCAATGGATGGGTCTATTTGAGAGAGACTACAGTAATTTTTGACTTATAACAGTCTATTTAGTGACCTTTCAAATTTACAATGGCACTGAAAAGTGACTTATGACCATTTTTCACACTTATGACCATTACAGCATTACATTACAGTGACCCTGATGATCACATGATCAAAATTCAGACACTTGGCAACTGACTCATATTTATGATGATTGAAGAGCCAGCACTGTCCGAAGAGGTCTCCGTGGTCATGTGGCCAGCATGATTAAACGTCAAAGGCACAAGGAATGTTGTTACCTTCCCACCAAAAGTGGTCCCTATTTTTCTACTTGCATTTTTTATGTGCTTTCAAACTGTTAGGTTGGCAGAAGCTGGGACAAGTAACGGGAGCTAACCCCTTTATGCGACACTAGGGATTCGAACCGCTGAACTGCTGACCTTTTGATTGACATGCTCAGCATCTTAGCCACTGAGCCACTGCGTCCCATTTTCTGTGCAAAACAGTTCATTTATTTATCTTAATTGTTACCTTCCTTCTCTGAAATCTTTCCATCTGGACATGGAATGCAATCATAGCAACAGAATGGCTCCCCTTCCTTCACTTTCTTGCTAGTACCTGGTTGGCAATGTTCAGTACATATCGAGATTGGCTGGACCTAAATAGAAATGTAAGTTTTGTTTCCAGTAAGGAGCCAGAGCAGAAACCAGTGCCACCAAATCCACTCTAAAACTTACCCAGCTATTCCACAAACATCCCTATATTTATTAAGGGCATGCAAGAAGGCAGAATCATAGGGAAGTGCTTGGATATACCAATAACCAGCCAGATGCAGTAGGATGACTAGGGTTAATCTTTAAGAAAAACAGCAGATCCAAGTCAACAGACTTGAGTGAAATAAGTTCTTAGTAATAATACAAGCAAAGCTATTATGAAGGATACATGATGCATGCTTTGGAGATATCCCATTGCTGTTGGACTAACTCCTGACATTTTAATATAAGTTGTCTTTGGAATTATTTATTTTTGTTCTTAGCCTTTCTGATTAAAAACTCTTAATAAGAATGACAATGCATTAAATTAAAAGTTAGAAGATAAGTCCGATGCTGCAGTTCAAGACAAATAAGCTTGTGAGGACCGGAAAGCATGCTTAAACATATAAGATAAAGATAAAGGTTACCCTCGCACACATGTACTAGTTGTTCCTGACTCTAGGGGGTGGAGCTCATCTCTGTTTCAAAGCCAAAGAGCCAGCGCTGTCCGAAGACACCTCCTGTGGTCATGTGGCCAGCATGACTAAACGCCAAAGGCGCACGGAACGCTGTTTACCTTCCCACCAAGCATTTTTTATGTGCTTTTGAACTGCTGGGGTTGGCAGAAGCTGGGACAAGTAATGGGAGCTCACCCCATTACACGGCACTAGGGATTTGAACCACTGAACTTCCGACCTTTCGATCGACAAGCACAGCGCCTCGAGCCACTGCGTCTCTGTTAATATAAAATTGTGCCTATATTCAAAGGAACGCACCACCACATCACTGCACTTATACTGGTGAATTTTCCAACATTTTTGATCGACAAGTCAGCATCTTAGCCACTGAGCCACCACATCCCTTCGCTTATACATATAGCAACATGTAAATTCATATGTGTTTATTTTCACTAAATATGCACACCTTGAAAGATCTAAATTTGTATGTAACTTTTTGAGCCTATTGTTCTTAGTAGCTTGGTTGAAATTTGGAGCAAAATACTTCGTTCTCAAAATAATTTGATGTATATTCTGAATTTACATTTCCATCAACACATTTTCAGTCAATTTAAAGACATGCCCCAGATATTATTTCAGTAGACCTTCATTTGTTATACTAGTTAGTTTATACTGTGTTTTCCAGAAAATAAGACTGGGTCTTGTATTAATGTTTGCTCCAAAAGATGCATTAGACCTTATTTTCTGGTTAGGTTTTATTTTTGGGGTATTTATGGTACTAAATGCACCCATCTGGTTGACAATCTTAACTGGGGCTTATTTTGGGGGTAGGGCTTATATTACAAGCATCCTTTAAAAATCAGGCTAGGACTTATTTTCCGGTTGGGTCTTATTTTCAGGGAAACAGGGTAGCACTTTTTCATTCTTTTTTTTTTCAATCAAATGTTATTAGAAATAATCATTAAACTGAAGGACAATGAAACTTACTTGGTTAAACCAGCTGTGCCATACTATGGCATCTTTACTGATGGTCAATCTTTCTCCTAGAAATGTTTCATGAGCCATTCTCCCAATTTTCTTTCTATGAAAAGATAGATTTGAAGAAGTAATCCAGTTGATAATGTCCATTCCAACTAATAACCTCCTGTTCTCATCAAAGGAGATATAGTCTCCACCACTGTTGTTAAATGAGACACGTCTGAGAAAACGATGAAGCTGGTTTGAAAAGGAAAATTCAATTTAGCAATAGCATTAGCACTTAGACTTATATACTGCTTCACAGTGCTTTCCAGCCTTCTCTAAGCAGTTTACAGAGTCAGCATGTTGCCCCCAACAATCTGGGTCCTCATTTTACCCACTTCGGAAGGATGGAAGGCTGGGTCAACCTTGAGCCTGGTGAGATTCGAACTGCCAAACTGCTGGCAGCCGGTGATCAGCAGAAGTAGCCTGCAGTATTGCACTCAAACCATTGTGCCACCGCGGCTCATTTTAAGTGAGGATTTCCCTTCCTTTTCCCTTCTTTCCTTTTCCATGATATTATAGCTTAATGGAAGCCATACTGAGGGAACACTTTCTATCAGGCTTTTTCATTTGTGTTGCTTAATGAGGGGAAATCCTATTGAATAATTTATCATTGCTTTACAGCAGTGGTGAAATCCAAATTTTTTTAATACTGATTTTGTGGGCGTGGCTTGGTGGGCATGGTGTGGCTTGATACGCGTGGCTTGGTGGGCATAGCAGGGGAAGGATACTGCAAAATCTCCATTCCCATCCCACTCTGGGGCCAGCCAGAGGTGGTATTTGCCAGTTCTCCGAACTACTCAAAATTTCCGCTACCAGTTCTCCGAACTACTCAAAATTTCCACTACTGGTTCTCCAGAACCTGTCAGAACCTGCTGGATTCCACCCCTGCTTTACAGATATTTGCAAATGTTGACCACTCAGTTTCTCTGCTCACAGATTAGAGGGAATATTTTTTTTTTTTAAAAAAAGGAAATCATTTATATCTTGGTCAAGTGTTAAGTTTACTTAAACAGGGTTAACATTTTTCCTGTCCACTACATTTGTAATATAAAATTAAAAGGTAAAGGTTCCCCTCGCACATATGTGCTAGTCATTCCCGACTCTATGGGGGGTGCTCATCTCCGATCAAAGCTGAAGAGCCAGTGCTGTCTGAAGACGCCTCCATTGTCATGTGGCTGACATAACTAAACACCAAAGGTGCACAGAACGCTGTTATCTTCCCACCAATAGGTGGTCCCTATTTTTCTACTTGCATTTTTTTACATGTTTTCGAGCTGATAGGTTGGCAGAAGATGGGACAAATAAAGGCAGCTCACCCCGTTACGCAGCACTAGGGATTCGAACCGCTGAACTTCCGACCTTTCGGTTGACAAGCTCAGCGTCTTAGCCACTGAGCCACCACGTCCCTACTGTGAACGTTCCCTGTGCACAGTCACTCATGCCCTCGTCACCTCTCACCTGGACTACTGCAACACTCTCTACATGGGGCTCCCCTTGAGGGGCACCCGGAGGCTCCAACTGGTCCAGAATGCGGCCGCGCGGATAGTTACAGGAGCTGCATGGCGCTCCCATATAACACGTGAGCTGCACTTGCTCCCAGTGGTCTTCCAGGTGTGCTTCAAGGTGTTGGTTATCACCTTTAGAGAGCTTTAAAGCGCTCCATGGCATAGGACCTAGATATCATCGAGACTGCCTGCTGCTACCAATGACCTCCCATCAAGCTGTGCGCTCCCACAGAGAGGGCCAACTTGGGGTGCCTTCAGCCAAACAATGTAGGCTGGTGACCTCCAGGGGGAGGGCCTTCTTTGTGGGGGCACCTACCCTCTGGAACCAACTGCCCCCAGAGATGAGGAGAATCGAAGACCTCGGTGCCTTCTGCTGTGCCCTTAAAACTTTCTTTTTTCAGCAAGCCGGGCTGGCCTAACACTTTTTAAAAATGTTTTTAATTGTTTTGTCATTGCTTTTAATTATGGGGCCAAATATATATATATATCTTTTTAATTATATTTTAATGTTTGTAGGTTATGTTTTTACTTTGGCTGTACACCGCCCTGAGTCCTTAGGGAGAAGGGCGGTATATAAATTTGATATAAAATAAATAAATAAATAAATAAATAAATAAATAAATAAATAAATAAATAAAAATATAAAATTGTGCCTATATTCAAAGGAAGGCACCACCACATCACTGCACTTATAGTGGTGAATTTTCCAACATTTTATTTTATTTTATTCCATATCATGCTGTGCATTAAATATTCATGTTCAGTATGAACTTTCTCTAAAATTCAATGTTCATGTTCAATGTATCTGCAAATTTATGGAGAACAGATGGAGAAGCTAGGGATAACATTTCAATCAAGTTCCCGTACTGCGAATTTGAAGCTTTTTACCTGCAAGGAGAGCATCGTTTTGGATCGATCCATTCTTGCTTTTTGACCGAGATTTGATGCAGTCATGGCATGTAAGGCATAGGCCACGCTGTAGACAGCATTGTATATACTGTAGCTATGGCCAATCATATTCATTTCAAAAAAGGGGCCAGGAACATTCTGCAGCTTTTCCTTGCCTGTACACATGACTCCTACAATTTGATCCTGAATTCTATTTGGAAATGCGCAATTAAAGACGTGTTGCCAGAAGTCCATCAAAAAGCCATCCTCTTGGTTACTTAATGGCTTCTGGCTCTGAATGAAATCTTGAAACCCATGAAGTTCTTGGGTGTGAGTTGTAAAGGACAGAGCACCATGTAGTAATGTTAAATTCCAATTTCTTTGATAGTTCAAAACACTGAGCTCCATCTGAGTGGTCATCACCCATACTTTACCTTTTAATTGATTCATATATGATTTTTGCACTCCAAATTCAGAAATGTGGGGAAACCATAACAAAAACAAAACAGAATAAGATACTCCATAGAACACCACTATATTGGCATTGCTGGCTGTGACAACTTCGTACATTTTTGCTGCTTGATTTAATTGATTTTCATGTTCAGCGGAGTAATTTATTTTAGGGAAGATTTCTATGAAGGCAAAACAGATGCCTCGATTGGAAAATGCTGGAATAATAGCACGCACAAATCTTTCTCCTCTGTCATCATCCATAGCAAGAATCCCAATCCATGTCCATGAAAAATAGACAAGCAGAGAGAGGATTCCAACATGCTGAAGATCATCGTTAGGGGCCATTTGGTAGAACGAGAGACCTGGGGATTTATCATTTATCTCTGGAGCTGATCCATAAATGATCTGAATATAATTCATTGAAGGAAACAGATTACTAATAGCATTTTCATAGCAAATTCTGGATTGCTATACATTCAAAAACTACTAGACTTTATACATATTTACAGCAGTAGTGGGTTTCAATTTTCTTTGTTACCGGTTCGCTATTGGGAGCGTGCAGGTGCACGTGATCGCTTTGCAAGTATGCGACACTTCTGTGCATGCACAGAGCATTTTTGATGACATCCGGGCAGGTGGATGGAGCCTCCCGCCACTGCCGCTACCGGTTCGCCTGAACTGGGGCAAACCAGTAGCAACCAACCACTGATTTACAGAAATACTACGTATGATGGTTTAAGATGATGGAGAACCTCAGTGTCTTCAGACAATTTTAAAATACAGTTCAGTTCACTTCTTGTCAACATTGGCACTATTAATTTGATCCAGTATCATCCCAGATACTGATATGTTTTTTTAAAAAAATGTGTCCATGATCTATGACCATTTCACTCTGAATTATAACATTAATTCTCCAAGTACACTTGCAATGATTATGAGATTTTTTTTTCTTCTATATTTATTGTGTCTGATTCTCAGAGACCGATTGGACAAGTGCCTGTAGTTTTCTTGGTGTCTTTTTTAGAAGTAGTTTGCCATCCCGTCCTTCCAGAAGTGGGCTGCTGGGGGATTGCAGGGGTTCGGGAGAACCTCTAGCTAACAATCCTACTCCTGCTGGCCCTGCCCACTCCGCCCCTCCCAAGAGTCCTCACACAGCCCATTTTGGATGCAAGTAAGTGCAGGGCATGCACGGAGGCTTGAGGTGGGTGAAAAACTGGCCTATTGGAAGTTCGGGAAGGCCAGAAACAGCCCAGAAATGGGCCTGTTTCCAGCCTCCAGAGGGCCTCCAGAGCCCGGGGAAACTGTTTTTGCCCTCCCTGAGGCTCGAAGAAAGCCTCCAGAGCCCGGGGAGAACAAAAACATCATGTTTTTGTCCTCCCACCATGGTGCAGGAGCCTGACTAGGCCACACCCACCATGGCCACACCCACCCAGCAACCAGGCAGAGAACCCCTTGCTAAAATTTTTGAAGCCCACCCCTGCCTCCTTTCTAGGGCTGAGAGAAAGTGACTAGCCCAATGTTACCCAGCTAACTTTGTGCCTAAGGCAGGATTAGAATTCACAGTCTCCCAGTTTCTACCTGAATGCTTTAACCACTACACCAAAGTGTCTCTTCCATCAATTTACTTAATGGTAAAGAAAGCAGTCAATTTATATTACTGGAGACAAATTCTTATGGCAGACATTTATTTCACAAAATAATGCCTCCTCCCGAAATTTAACAGCAGTGGATAGAAGCTAGGATTTAAACCCATAACCTGTGTAAGCATTACAAAAATTAATTAAGAAAATAACTGGATTTGTCTCTATCCTGTAGATTCTATTAAAACAGGAGCACAAAGTTTATAATAGTATTGCTAGCTTCAGGAAATAAGTTATGATATACATTCAGAAAGATTACATGTAAAAGAACATTCTACAAAACATTAGTTGCACTCCTAAGTATACTTAAATGAACAGAAGGGAAACAAAATGAAATAATTCACTCTACTTGACAACATCCATGGCATACTGGTTCGCATGTGCAGGCACAAACCCTAAATGCATATATACTTGTGTATGATAGCAGTCAGTCCCAATCTGATATTAAACTAAAGTCTTTGGGGCTCAACAATCTCCAACATTTCAAAATACAGTTCTGAGAATTTTGATTTTGCATATAAGGAGGGAGATTGGAACGACTGTTTTGGAGTGCATTCCTTAATATGCTGCAGAATTCACTCTGTCAACTTTATCCTGTTTGCCTCTTTGATCCCATAAACTCCCACCTCACTGTAAGATCTTGTGAAATTTTCTGAATAGCAATGTTCCAATATCTAAGGGGCTTCCAAAAGAAGAGGGGGGTCAACCCAGGGGTGGGCTTCAAAATTTTTAGCAAGGGGTTCTCTGCCCAGTTGATGGGTGGGCATGAACCATGGAAGGGGGGGCATTTTTGCCCTCCCCAGGCTCCAGAGGCTTTCCTCGAGCCTCTGGGAGGGTGAAAATAGCTTCCCCAGGCTCCAGAGGCCCTTTGGAGGGCAGAAACGGGCCCATCTCTGGCCTCCCCAAACTTCCAATAAGCCTGTTTTCGCCCTCCCCAAGTCTCTGTGCACGCCCTGCACTTACCTGCACCCAAAACAGGCCACATGGGGACTCCTGGGAGGGGTGGGCGAGGTGGGGCCAGCCAGGAGTGGGATTTGGGGGTTCTCTGAACTGCACAGAATCTTAGCTAGAAGTTCTCCTGAACCCCTGCGAACCCCCAGCAGCCCACTTCTGGGTAAACCTACTCTCCAAAGCACCTGAAGGCAGAACAAGAAGCAATGAATGGAAACTAAACAAGGAGAGAACCAACCTAGAAATAAGAAGAATTTTTTTGTGAATAATAATAATTTCCTGAGGAAAATAAGGAGAATTTTTCCACAATTAATCAGTGGAACAGCTTGGCTTTAGAAATTGTGGGTGCTGTGGAGGTTTTTAAGAAGAGATTGTACAACCACTTATCTGAAGTAGTATTAGTCTTCTACTTAAGCAGGGGGTGGGACTAGAAGACCTCCAAGGTCCTTTCCAACTCTGTTATTCTGTTATTTCTCATCCTAGTCTAAAAACATGAGTAAATTTTCTTGAGCTCATTTATCCAACCAGAGAGCTCCCATCTCACAATGTCAGTCTGAATCACCATCAAATTGATTATGGGAACTTTTATATCTGCCAAGAAAAATAATGTTTAATGGATAATTTCCAGGTTGCAAGTGATTCTAAGAGGAAAGAGACATTTGAAGCATTGTTAAAAAAGAAAAATGTAATATCTTGGATCAAGGCATGAAAAAAATGAAATTTAGTAGATGCAACCAACCGTCAATATTCTCCCAATTAGTAATTGTTCCCCATCGAATCTGTACAGTATACCTTGCTGAACATGTTATTTCTGTATGATGAAAGGATAGGTGAACATTAAATTGTCTGCCAGACCATGATCTCAAGATTTTAAGATCTTGTGATTACACACTAACTCACGCAATTGCCTAAAAATTAATATTTATAAGAGGAAAGATGGTAAAGATGTTTCTCTTTATGTTGATTCTAAAGAAAAAGAAGATAAATGAGCCTAATATATTGTTTCATTGCCTTTATTGGAATATTTTCAGAAGAATACATGATTCACATTTCTTTCTTGTCAATTTTTCATTTTTCTATTGGAAGAATTTCTGATAGAAATTTGGCACTATAAAATCTTAGTTAGCTCACCACATCTAAATTAATAAATATACTTTTATAAATAAAATAAAACTTTTATATACATTTATATATTTATAAATATACTATCGCCCTCCCTATATAACTTATATGCAGAGCACATCATGAGAAAGGCAGGGCTAGATGAATCAAAAGTTGGAATTAAGATTGCCAGGAGAAACATTAACAACCTCAGATATGCAGATGATACCACTCTAATGGCAGAAAGTGAAGAGGAACTAAAGAGCCTCTTGATGCAGGTGAAGAAGGACAGTGCAAAAGTTGGCTTGAAACTCAACATTAAGAAAACTAAGATCACATCCATCTCAATTCCTGGCAAATAGATAGGGAAGAAATGGAGATAGTGACAGATTTTATTTTCTGGGGCTCCAAGATCACCGCAGATGGGGACTGCAGCCAAGAAATTAAAAGATGCTTGCTCCTGGGGAGGAAAGCTATGGCAAATCAAGACAACATACTAAAAAGCAGAGACATCACCCTGCCAACAAAAGTGCGTATAGTCAAGGCTATGGTGTTCCCAGTTGCAATGAATGGCTGTGAAAATTGGACCATGAGAAAGGCTGAGCGCCAAAGAATTGAGGTCTTTGAATTATGGTGCTGGAGAAGACTCCTGCGAGTCCCTTGGACTGCAAGATGATAAAACTGGTCAGTTCTAGAGGAGATCAACCCTGACTTTCTTTAGAAAGCCAGATCCTGAAGATGAAACTCAAATACTTTGGCCACCTAATGAGACAGAAGAACTCACTGGAGAAGAGCCTTATGCTGGGAAAGATTGAGGGCAAAAGAAGAAAGGGACAACAGAGAATGAGGTGGCTGGATGGAGTAACAGAAGTAGTAGGCATGAGCTTTAATGGATTCCAGAGAATGGTAGAGGATAGGAAGGCCTGGAGGAACATTGTCCATGGGGTTGCGATGGGTCAGACATGACTTTGCAACTAACAACATCATTAGCTCTAATGCCCAGGTACGTTGGATCACCAAGTCAATGGATTCTCTAAAACATAAGCAAAGATCAATTGGGTTAATACAGTGATGAAAGCTATCAGGATTGCCAGGGTTGTGTGCTAGAACTGAGAAATGAGCAGCAATTAGAGAGAAGCAAAACAAACTATTTCTATATTTGAATTTCCATGAAAATTACACAGGTAAATTTCATAAGGTCACCAGGAATTGAGGTTGATCTGGAAGAGATGTTATCTTTCTTCTAGTAATTGAGTAGGATATGTGGATTTCCAGAGGAATAAATACTTTCTGTCTGATACTAATTTCCTCCAACCAATGTTTTTTTTCAAGCTAGAATAGTTCTTTAAGTAGTTTTATTTTTAAATGTGTATTTATGTTATTCCTGCCATGGTATTCCTGATCCACTTATTTCAGGTTCTTGAATAGAAAAATCCAATAAGGAAAGATAAGAATGAAATGAAACCTATGAAGGGCTAAAGATATTGTATAATATATAAGAGGGATGAGGGACAATAAGATTGTAATTTCCTTCCTTCCTTCCATTTGATTTGTCTTTTATTTTAGGAAAAAACAATCTTAATATAAATTAAGCGTATTTTCTGGAGTATAAGATGCACTTTTTTCCCTCCTAAAAGAGGCTGAAAATTTTGGTGCATCTCTGAACGTAACCCCGTGCACGGTGCCCAAAATGGCTACCCAGAACAGCTGCTGCCTTCTCTTACCCCTTCTGCACTTTGCCTGCTTTAGTCACTGGAGCTCTCTCCAATGATCAGCTGTGCTTTAGAAGCTGATATTTTCCGAGCTTTGCCTGCTTTTCTAATTGCTGCTCCCTCCGACGATCAGCTGTGCTTTAGAAGCTGTTTTTTAGCCCCAACCAGCCCCAACCTCAAAACCAGCGAGGGAACTAATGTGCTGAAGTTGACCAGGCTAAGGACTAGCCAGATGAATACCTGGTAGGCAGAATGGGGTTTTTTTTCCTATTTTCCTCTCCAAAAACTAAGGTGTGTCTTATACTCCGGTGCACCTTATACTCCGGTGCACCTTATACTATAAAAATATAGTAAATTAACAACAAAAATGAAGCCTAATTCCAATGTTACAGTATAAGAGAAAAGCCATTGCCTTACCTGTGGAATTTTATAGATATCCAAAATATTTGCCATATGAAGGGAAGTTTGGGCATCAAGTCCTCCAATGACTGCTATTAAGTTATTTTGGATACCACATTTATAATTGGGCATGAATCTATCTGATGTAGATATCAGCTGTGTTGTGGCACGATATGTTCTCTTTGCATTGAAATAGCTGTCATAGATGTGGAAACCCAAGGAAAAATTAGGTAGCAACTGGGAATTTTTATTTATTTCCTTTACCGCAAATGCCAAAGCCAGAATGTGCTGATAATGCTTAGTCAGGATGCTAGAATAAGAGTTGAATTATAAATCAGCAGGATAGATTATAGTCCACTTATTTCTAAATATTTCACATTAAATTTGTGTTATTATTATTATTGAAACAAACCTTACTTTGGCAGTTACATAATGATAAAAGATAAACTTTACCAATGTAAATTATTAACTTTATAAGTACTTCCTATGATTGCTCATTGTTTTTTTCTAGATGGTTATTTATAAAAATGATTTAATTATCCAGTTCAAATGCATATTGAGAATCACATACCTATGTAGTAATAATATCAGGCCAAGATATTGGGCCCAGAAATACAGGGTTCATTCAACAGAAATGCAAATACTATACAGTTGCCTTATCAGATTTTGACCAAATAGTAATATAGTAGAATGGACAGCTAACATCAAAAACATCATCAAAAAAGCACAACAAAGAATGTTCTTTCTGCGCTCAAAGGAAGCTCAAATTGCCCAAGGAGCTGCTGATACAGTTCTATAGAGGAATTATTGAGTCTGTCATCTGCATCTCTATAACTGTCTGGTTTGGTTCTGCAACCCAGCAAGACAGACACAGACTTCAGAGGATAATTAGAACTGCAGAAAAAACAATTACTACCAACCTGCCTTCCACTGAGGACCTGTATACTGCACAAGTAAAAAAGAAGGCTGTGAAAATACTTACAGACCCCTCACATCCTGGACATAAACTGTTTCAACTCCTACCTTCAAAACGACACTATAGAGCCCTGCACACCAGAAAAACCAAACACAAGAACAGTTTTTTTCCCAAACACCATCACTCTGCTAAACAAATAACTCCCTCAACACTGTCAAACTATTCACTAAGTCTGCATTACTATTAATCTTCTCATTGTTCCTATCACCCATCTCCTCCCACTTATGACTGTATGACTGTAAGTTGTTGCTGTATCCTTACGATTTATGTTAGGATATGGTTTGAGCCTAACTAGCCTAACAATAACCTTAACAATTTATATTGATTGTTTCCTAGTACGATTTGATTGCTTATTTGTACCCTATGACTATCATTAAGTGTTGTACCTTATGATTCTTGATGAATGTATCTTCTCTTTTTATGTACACTGAGGGCATATGCACCAAAGACAAATTCCTTGTGTGTCCAATCACACTTGGCCAATAAAGAATTGTATTGTATTGTATTGTATTGTATTGTATTGCATTGCATTGCATTGCATTGTATTGCATTGCATTGCATTGCATTGCATTGCATTGCATTGCATTGCATTGCATTGCATTGCATTGCATTGCATTGCATTGCATTGCATTGCATTGCATTGCATTGCATTGCATTGCATTGTATTGTACATACGTTACTTTTAAAAAAGGAAGGTTCATAGGACCCACATTGTATCTAGGTATTCATTTCAGAGAAAGTCATGCTCCCCAGGAAGTTAAAGTGTTGCTCTGTATTGTTCAAAGGTGGGAAAACCAGAACATGTAAGTTTTGGCTGGAAAGACAGTTTGTTATAGTGATTAACCAGGCTAGAAACAGTGACTATGAATTCTAGTGTGTGAATTCTAGTCCTGCCTTGGATACAAAGCAGCTGGATAACCTTGGATTATACCCTGTCATCATCCCCAGGAAGGAGACAATGGCAAACCACTTCTGAAAAAAATTACCAAGAAAACTGTGGGGACATGTCCAGTCAGTTTCTGAAGATTGGACAGAATTGAATGGAAGGGGGAAAATGTTATAGATAGGGAGAGACCAAAATTACTGCTAATTGATGCTTTCTTTACAAGAGATATATGGGACGTGATGGTTCAGTGGCTAAGACACTGAGCTTGTCAATCGAAAGGTCGGCAGTTCAGCGGTTTGAATCCCTAGTGCTGCATAATGGGGTGAGCTCCTGTTATTTGTCCCAGCTTCTGCCAACCTAACAGTTTGAAAGCACATAAAAAATGCAAGTAGAAAAATTAGGGACCACCTTTGGTGGAAGGTAACAGCGTTCCATGCACTTTGGGCATTTAGTCATGCTGGCCACATGACCACGGAGACGTCTTCAGACAGCGCTGGCTCTTCAGCTTTGAAACGGAGATGAGCACCATCCCCTAGAGTTGGGAACGACTAGCACATATGTGTGAGGGGAACCTTTACCTTTACCTTACAAGAGATCTTGGAAGCAGCTGATTATGATTACAAAATGATTGGATGGCTTGGAAATATCTCTATTTCTGATCATGTACAATGGAAATCTACATTGTTTGATGGGGATAAGCAATGGAAATAATTATCCCTAGGACAGATGTACCTGTGATTTGATGGCAATGAAAATAAAACAGGTCAGGGCATAGGAGAAGAGGGAATGGAATGACAGAGCATTTGCTAAGGAACAAACATTTAAAGGTATTTAAAATCAAGCAATAGATTTATTGCCAAATCAATATCATAGCAACTTACTTCTTAGTAAGCAGATGGGAGACTATTGAAAATATCCATCTTAAACTGTAGATTTAAGGGAGGAAAAGGAGAAATTCCTTACCTAAGATCCTGATATACCACTGGTGGAGGTTCTGTATCAAAAGTCAGAGGATCAGAAACAATAAAAGTTAGAGAAACAACAGCACCAATGATGAAATCTCCAAGCTTATGATACTTATGAACTGGAGGTTGTGGATCACGGACATAATGTCTGAATACATGAGCATGGCAAGCTATTTGAGAAAGTAGCAGCATCAATAGTGCCATCATTTTGAGTACAAATAATCCAAATCAGATCCAAATCTTATTTAAACTACAGTGCTTTAATTAAAATCATGATTAAAATAATTTTATGAATAGGCATCTCAAGTTTTTCAAGCTATTTAACTGGAATATATACAGTAGGAAATCTGAGACCACAGAAGAGTAATTTTGTTTGTCTCACATTTTTAGCTCTGCTAAATGTCATGATCCTTTTTTTTTAAAGGTATAATGAAATTGCACAGGAGAATTTGACAAGCAACAGGATTAATTAGTAATTAACTCATAATAACCACTTTACATTTGGGAAATCCTTATGCTCAATTTGTTTATCACAAATGAACAGGATCTTTCCAGGTCTAATAAAAGACAATTGGGTCTGAAATGACTTGTCTCAAGAAACAGGCATAGAAATTAGAGGAATATTACTTGGGGCTACAAAAGAAGTGTTCATGCATAAAAGTCTTTCAGTTAGGTATTCTGTAAATGTTTTCAGATTTTAATTTCTCAAATTCTGAGTCTATAGTTCTGAGTTTTGTCATTCTTTTGTTAAAAAAATAATTTTATTGAACCGTTTTTTTAAAACAAAAAATGAAATTTTTACAATTTTCTTCTTTTCAACATTTCCACATCAGTTTTCATTTCTTATATATCCATTTTTCTTCTTTTTTTCTATTTACTATCTATACAGGTGATTCTAATATTTATTTATGCATATGAAAATAACAATGTACTAAATTACAATCATTCATTCTTTGTCTGTTCCCTTTCTACATATTTGTTACTATATTCAAACTCCTGTTTCTTCCTCACTTAATCTTTTTTTGCCCTTTATACTTCTCCTCTAATCATTCTAATCATGCAATGTTGGACACTCTATATGGGGCTGCCCTTGAAGTACATCTGGAAACTCCAGTTGGTGCAAAATGCAGAGGCCCGCATGATTTTCTGCAGACCCTGGTATCACCTCTCCTGTTGGAGCTGCATTGGCTGCCAATTTGCTTCTGGGTGCAATTCAAGGTGCTGCTTGTCACCTTTAAAGCCCTTTATGGCTTGGGACCAGGTTATCTGAGGGACTGTCTCTTGCTGTCACATCTACCTGACCCATCAGAGTGGGGAGGAAGGGAATGTTGTGGGTCCCATCCTCTAGGGCAGGTGTTGGCAACCTGCAGCTTTAGAGCTGCATGCAGCTCTTTGGGCTCTCTGCTGTGGCTCCTTGTCCTATCACTGACTGGCCCCACCCGTTGCTTTCCCCTCCCAGTCATTACTCACTTGTCCTGAGAAGGTAAGGGCGACAGCAGGGGATGGAGAAGTGGCTGGGGCTGATTCTCCGGCACCTCACTTTTGCTGGAGCCTCTTCACAAGGCTCACCTGGGAATGAGATTTAAAGAGACACCACTGGGAAGGATGCTTGTCAGGAACAAGCGTTGCCTTTTTCCAGTCTCATGTGCTGTTACTGATGTCTGGAGACTTTGTTTGCCTTGCCCTGTTTGCCTTCCCTGCTTGCCTTGCTTGCCTGGCCTGGCTATATGCGAGTTTGCAGTGACACAGTTCTGCTCCAGGTTGTGCTGCAGTCCCAATGAACTCTTCCTATGACAAGGACTCCTTGGAACCAAATTTTCTGAACTGTGGCTGCTCTCAGAACTGTGCTGCTTCCCTGGACTAATAGCAGCCAGGACAGAGCTGGTTTGCACCGCTTCGGATGAACCGGTAGCGGAAATTTGAACTGGTTCATCAAACCGACAAATACCACCTATGGTTGGCCCCACCCCCAGTCACCCGGTCACTCCCACCCACTAGCAGCTCACCCCGCCCACCCCATCCACCCCTGCCCCACCCTACCCTATATAAGTTACCTTCACCACGCAGCCCAGCTAATCGCCTTGCTTTGACTCCATGCCTTGCCCACTCTGCTCATCAAAGTTAAGCATGTCACCCACTCGCCCTTTCCTCAGGTCGGGTCACCCACTCGCCCTTTCCTTAGGTTGGGGCCCAGGGAAGTGTCATTCCCCGAGGTCCTGGAGCCTCTGCCCACTCGCCGTTCATCTTGGCCAGGTCAGGGAATGTGCCATTCCCCGGCTCTGGCCTTGACCCGGAGCCTCCACCCACATGCTGCCTGCTCACCCTCCGCCTCACTCACCTTCATCTACAACTTGGTGGGGGGGTCCCTGGCCAGCTCAGCCGGTGATCCTCCAGCCACTGGTAGTTTTTGGCTGCCTTCTGAGCAGCACCATTGTGAGGCCATCCCTCTGGAGAAGCAGGCTGTTCGCCTGGCTGGGTCTGGCTGTGAGCAGCACTGACAGGCAATGAGGTGCATGTGTGCAACTGGCATGAAGAACAGGGTGGCGACGGTGGCAATGACACTTCTTCAGGCCTCTTTTTTCATGTGTAGTTTTCAGTAGTTTTTGGTGCAAGAAGCCTGCAGCTGCTGCCTCTTTTTTGGCCGAGAAGCCTTGAGCCGCCACTGCTGGCTTGGTTCCAGCTGGCAAAGAGGCTTCTTGTGCCAAAAGAGGCGGTGGCTGCAGGCTTCTTGCTCCAAAAACTACTGAAATCTACAGGCCAAAAAAAAAGCCTGTAGAAGAAGTCCTGTTGCCACCATTGCCACCCTGTACTTCTTGCCGGCCATACATGCACACCCCATTGCCTGCCAGTGTGTGTGCGCGGCCACACCCCATTGCCAGACCCAGCCAGGAGAATGGCCTGCTGCACCAGAGGGACAGCATCGCAGCCAGACTGTGGTGTCCTTTTAAGGTACTTTGACATAATGGGGAGGGGGACCATAAAGGGACAGGCTGCAGGAGTGCCTTTTCTGCCATTCCTGTGGGCGTGGCTTGGTGGGCGTGGCTTGGTGGGGATCATGTGACTGAGTGGACATGGCCAATTCAATGTCACTCTCAGCAAGGTGTCCTCCCACCAAGCCAGACCCACCAAGCCATGCCCACAGAACCGGTAGTAGAAAAATTTGAATCCCACCACTGAGCCAGGACCTATTGAAGGTGCGTGTTTAGAGCTTGGCTCTTGGACTTGCAGTGAAAGTCCAAGAGCCTTGGACTTTTGGGGGAAAGTTTGAGCAATAAAGGGGAGCTAAGCCTTCATTCCAGCTATGCTGCTTCCATGCCCAGGCCCGGGTCATCACAATAAATGACTTAACTGAAGTCTCTCTGATTATTAAACTTATTTGAATGGCTGTATTTTCTAAGATGATCCCTTTCACCCTTACTTTTGTTACATTATTCTCTTGTTTAAGACATATCCAAACATTATTTATGGATCTACTAGGTTGTCCTGATAGCTATTCTTAATATTCTTTAACGAACTAAAAAGCTGTTTATGGAATCAAGGGTCAAGTATTGATATAATTTTTGAAAGTTTAGATGATTATTTCTCCAATAATAGTGGTTTAATCACCTGTTTCATTAATGATGCCTTTTTCAGTGAGTGATGGGAGAAAGTCTTCAGCACAATTTACATGTTAAGCTTCTCCATGCTGATATGGTTTCTCCCATTGCATTTTCATTGCAGTAACAATAAATAAAGAACAGGATCAAAGATTTCTGTACAATTAAAAGTAAACAATGTCTCTTTCCAATTAAATATATTAATTATAAATGAACTGGAAGATATTCTCTTCTTTTTTTATTATGAATAGTATAGCACCAGATATCATTTCAGGTTTTAAATTAGATATATCTGCATAGAACTGTGGCCTAGTAAATTTTTGTTTGTTTTCAGACTATCATATTTTACAGGTGAAACTCGAAAAATTAGAATATCGTGCAAAAGTTCATTTATTTTAGTAATGCAACTTAAAAGGTGAATCTAATATATGAGATAGACTCATTACATGCAAAGCGAGATAGTTCAAGCCTTGATTTGTCATACTTTTGATGATTATGGTTTACAGCTCATGAAAACCCCAAATTTACAGTCTCAGAAAATTAGAATATTGTGAAAAGATTCAATATTCTAGGCTCAAAATGTCCCACTCTAATCACCTAAATTAAGCCATAACACCTGCAAAAGGTACCTGAGCCTTTAAATGGTCTCTCAGTCTGGTTCAGTAGGAATCACAATCATGGGAAAGACTGCTGACCTGACAGTTGTGCAGAAAACCATCGTTGACACCCTCCATAAGGAGGGAAAGTCTCAAAAGGTAATTGCAAAAGAAGTTGGATTTTCCCAAAGTGCTGTATCAAAGCACATTAATAGAAAGTTATGTGGAAGGGAAAAGTGTGGAAGAAAAAGGTGCACAAGCAGCAGGGATGACCGCAACCTGGAGAGGATTGTCAGGAAAAGGCCATTCAAAAGTGTTGGGGACTTTCACAAGGAGTGAACTGAGGCTGGAGTCAGTGCATCAAGAGCTACCACACACAGACAGATCCTGGACATGGGCTTCAAATGTCGTATTCCCTTGTCAAGCCACTCCTGAACAACAAACAATGTCAGAAGTGTCTTACCTGGGCTAAAGAAAAAAAGAACTGGTCTGTTGCTCAGTGGTCCAAAGTCCTCTTTTCTGATGAGAGCAACTTTTGCATCTCATTTGGAAACCAAGGACCCAGAGTCTGGAGGAAGAATGGAGAGGCACACACTGCAAGATGCTTGATGTCCAGTGTGAAGTTTTCACAGTCTGTGTTGATTTGGGGAGCCATGTCATCTGCTGGTGTTGGTCCACTGTGCTTCATTAAGTCCAGGGTCAATGCAGCCGTCTACCAGGAGATTTTGGAGCACTTCATACTTCCTTCCACAGACGAGCTTTATGGGGATGCTGACTTCATTTTCCAGCAGGACTTGGCACCTGCCCACACTGCCAAAAGTACCAAAACCTGGTTCAATGACCATGGGATTACTGTGCTTGATTGGCCAGCAAACTCGCCTGACCTGAACCCCATAGAGAATCTATGGGGCATTGCCAAGAGAAAGATGAGAGACATGAGACCGAACAATGCAGAAGAGCTGAAGGCCGCTATTGAAGCATCCTGGTCTTCCATAACTTTTTATATCCACCCCGA